ACATTAATCAGACTCGTTTCATTTTGAACCTTTGAAAAAAAATCCCAATCACACGTTTCACCGATGCAGATCCACTCCACATGAAAAAATATATTCATCCAGTAAAAAAAAACCAGCCTGGAAAATTGCATTTTATGATGAGAGACTGCTTATTTTTAAATTTTTTTAGATAAGTCAAATTACAAAAATATTAATGAATATTACAATTAATTAAGGTTTTTAGTCGAGATGAAAAAAAGCTAATGGCACGAGAGGGATTCGAACCCACGACCTTCTTGAAAAATGGCAAAAGGAATGAAAACTCATAAGGTGGGGTTTAGATGGGGAGTTGATGTCCGAGTGGATCGAGGTCACGATAGCTCAGGTGGTAGAGCAGCGGCGTATCAAGCCGAAGGTCGTGGGTTCGAATCCCTCTCGTGCCATTAGCTTTTTTTCATCTCGACTAAAAACCTTAATTAATTGTAATGTATTAATTGGTCAACCGGACCACGAAATTAATGAATATAATGACAAAGACAAATCATAATTGATTTAATAATATAATATTTTTGATTACTTTAAGAAGGAAAGTATTAAAAAAAAAATAGTTTAAATGTTTTAACTCTTCGAAACGTCTAATTACATTATTACTGTTCAAAAATTTAACAAAATATCAATATGATTTAGAAATAAGATTGCAACCTATTTATGGCTACTGGAAGGACCAGATTTTTGTCTAACTATTAACAATCTTTGTTACGACACTGATTTTGAAAGACTATCCGGAGATACGGAAATTTTTTTTTCAAAATATATTCCAAAAGATCAAATCGAAAAACGACCTTCATAGTAGCCGGGGACTTACCCGATGCAACGCCATGCGACCCTACCCGACGCAAATCCAAGGTCCAATTTTCCATAAGGTTGCATTACCCTGTGCATATCTGCCCAATGCCACGCAACGCTACCCTACTCTATGCTACGCTATCCCCACTGTCCAGATTTTCGTCGGGTCGCATCGAGTACAGTCGAAGACAAAACCGGACTCTCATTCTTTTATTCAAACTACATGTATTATTGTTATATTAATTACAACAAACTTATTTTAATAAAAACCAAATTTACCGAGATCAAAAGTTCATTAGTTTTTATTTTAAAAAATTAATTTTAATGGTTTTGTAGAAAATTAATCAAAACACTGGAATACCATTTTTTGATATAATGAATTTAACTAAAAATTTATTACACGATTTTGCTCATAAAATTTAACTAACAATTTATTTCATTGTTTTGCTTAAACAATTACACCGTTTTCGTCGAGTAGCGTCAGAACAGGACACTCATATTTTTTGTAATTTAATTCAAACTATGTACATGTAATTTTGTCGTTGTATTAATTTCAACATTCTTATTTTAATATAAACCAAATTAAACGAGATCAAAAATTCATGAGTTTTTATCAAAATTATTTAACTATGATGGTTAGGTAGACAATTTATCAAAACACAGGAATAACTTTATTTAAAAAATTACATTTAACAATTTATTACATGGTTGTGCTCATAAAATTTTATTAACAATTTATTACATTGTTTTGCTCATAAAATTTAACTAAGAATTTATTTAATAGTTTTGCTCATACAATTACACCATATTCGTCGAGTAGCGTCAGAACAGGACACTCATATTTTTTGTAATTTATTTCAAACTTTGTACATGTAATTTTGTCGTTGTATTAATTACAACATTCTTATTTTAATATAAACCAAATTGAACGAGATCAAAAGTTCATGAGTTTTTATCAAAATTATTTATTTATGATGGTTAGGTAGACAATTTATCAAAACACAGGAATAACTTTATTTAAACAATTACATTTAACAAAAAATTTATTACATGGTTGTGTTCATAAAATTTTATTAACAATTTATTACATTGTTTTGCTCATAAAATTTAATTAACAATTTATTTAATGGTTTTGCTCATACAATTACACCATTTTCGTCGAGTAGCGTCAGAACAGGACACTCATATTTTTTGTGATTTATTTCAAACTATGTACATGTAATTTTGTCGTTATATTCATTACAGCATTCTTATTTTAATCTAAGCCAAATTAAACGACATCAAAAATTCACAAGTTTTTAACAAAATTATTTAATTATGATGTTTAGGTAGGACAATTTATCAAAACACCGGAAAAACTTTATTTAAACAATTAAATATAACATTTTATTACATGGTTGTGCTCACAAAATTTTACTAACAATTTATTACATGGTTTTGCTCAAAATAATGCATTAAGAACAAAAGAGGCGATTGTGATACTGATTTGTGATACACACTGCGTGACTGTACGTGGCGTGCGCTTGACTTAACATAGATGTGCACGCGCTACTAAAACGTGGCATGGCATCGGGTAGCATCGGGTAGCGTCGCAGGGTGTTGCATCGGGTAAGTGTGTTCCCGGCTTAACGTTGCCAAAGCGATGTTAAAAGGCCCCTTTCACACTGGACGACTTTTGTCGTGCGATAAAAAATCGGACGATATGTTATCGTGAATAATTTTTAGTAAATCGAATATTCCAATGGACACACTAACCGGGTGACGACATTTATCGTACGATCGACGTATGAATATCGTCACAACCACTGGTAAAGATCGATATCGAAATGATATTTTATCGTGTTCGACTTGCAGTAGTCCGCAGAAACTAATGGGAAGTTTCACACTACACGAATTTTATTCGACAGGCGTCCAACGAAGCAACAGGTTTGTATATTTATTTCGATTACTACAAAGATAATTTTATGTGGTTTGGCGCGTTGAAAGAATTATTTTATTATTTATAGGCATCATGGATCTAGAAATTGCAATGGAAATTATGATATCTCTCATTGAAGAGAGACCAGTCTTATGGGACAAGACTAAATAAATATATAAGGATAAGAATGCCACAAAAATAGCGTGACGAAGTTTTTGTTGGAGGGAAAACGATGAAATGGACATTGGACAATTAATTCATCGCTCCTTTGATTTATGGGATGGAGACAATGTACTTGATTGACTTTTGTCGATCTCGTAAACGACGGTAAAGTAACCAAAGGGATATTACAACGGTCCACGATGCGATAAACGTGGTGGTCCAACAACACCGGCGATTTTTCGGACGACACGACTTTTGTCGGCCAGTGTGAGCCCATTGATACAACGATACATATCGTCCGACTATTATCGCACGACAACAGTCGTCCAGTGTGAAAGGCTTGTGACACCACTTCGATTCCAAAAATACTCCCAACAAGCATACGGGTTTTTATAGAAAAGCTGCGTCGTTCCGGAACGACGGCCGTAAGGAATTTGATTTCACAGACTCGGGATTAAAATTTCACAGATGTCCTCTATTTATTCGGGCTGAAGGGACAACATTAATATTAGGATTTTAGGCCTTGGCTACACAAAGAGTCGGACCTTCAAAAGTATCCAGTGTATAACTATAACACCCCTTTCTATCATTTCCACTGAATGTGTGCTTTGTTTTCAGAAGGTCGTTTGTTATACTTTAGCAAAGGCTCTGCCTAGAGGAAGGACATTGTTTTTTCTAATTAATCATAGTTCCTCAACTCGAAATTTACTCAAACTTTGTAATTTTATTGTTAGTTTAAACCAGGGGTTGACGAACTTTTTTTACAAAAAGTTCAAACCATAATCCAATTTATGTTCGACGGTCCAGGTTGAAATTTATCTTAACTGTATATTTTTCAAATATTTACATATATTCATAAAACAAATAATAATTGTAAGGGTGATAATTTACATTTAAATAAACATTATTTTTCACACTTCTAAAAATTAATGAAGCCACAAAATGGTGGAAATTTTTACTAATTTACTATTTTTCGTGGTCCGCTTGACCAATTAATATCAATCAATTAAATAAGGTTTTAAGTTGAGATAAAAAAAGTCAGTGTCGCGAGCGGGATTCGAACCCACGACCTTCGGCTTGATACCCCACTACTCTACTATTTGAGCTATCGTGACTTGGAAGTTGGTGTCCGAGAGGATCGAAGTCACGAAAGCTCACGTGGTAGAGCAGTGGCGTATCTAGCCAAAGATCGTTCGTTCGAATCCCTCTTGTGACATTGACTTTTTTATCTCAAGTAACAACCTTAATTAATTGAAAGATATTAATTGGTCAAGCGGACCACGAAAACTAGTGAGTTAAGTTGAATTAAGTTAAGTTGAGTTGAAGTGAACTAGTTACTAATGTGAAAAATAAAATTGTTGTATTTTAAGGCAATATATACTTGACATCGAATTTAATAATTTCAATCGTAACTTCAACGTTGATAAATTAATAATTATCTATTGGGAATTTACTTAGGTATTTCATTTAAAACAATTTTTATCCACATACCTGTCTACAAAATGTTGATTAAATAAAATCAAATTCATTAACTCAATCTTTTCCATGAGATCTTTGTAATAAATAAAACTGTCATTTGTGTATTCTTTATTTTTCATTTTAATTTAAATACATTGACATATGTACAAGATTAACATAATGACTAAACGTTCATTTTTTGACAATTCAACAATTAAAATAAAATATTTGACAATTACAATTAATTAAGGTTTTTAGTTGATATAAAAAAGTCAATGGCACGAGCAGGATTCGAACCCACAATCTTCGGCTAGATACGCCGCTGCTCTACCACTTGAGCTCGATCCACTCGGACACTAACTTCCCATCTCAACCCCACCTTTTTGAATTTTCCCTCCTTTTTCCCATTTTTCAAATGTCGTGTAATCAGATTTGATTCTCGGCGACAAATGAAATGGCCACGGAGAGCTTTAGTGAAGTGTACTTCATTTTAAATCATTAAATTCACTAATTTCGTGGTCCGCTTCACCAATTAATACATTGCAATTAATTAAGGTTTTTAGTTTAGATAAAAAATGTTTTAAAAAAATGTCCTTTAGAATTTTTTTTACAAATTTATCTCAACTAAAAACCTTAATTATTTGTAATATATTAATTGGTCAAGCGGACCACGAAATTAGTGAATTTAATATTTGCCAATTTTGAATAAATTCTTGTACGAAATAGATTTACAAAACGTACGAACTATTTGGATTACAGCAGGAATTTCGTTTACAAATATTACATTACCAAAATCTACTCAGTACAGTCTAGATCTAAATTAATTACAAGCTAAATATGGAGAGAAAAGGATTGTTTTATGCTATTTATGTATATACATTGAATGATTTGAAGTTGTCTTACTACATTTATACATTTTTTTACATTAATATTTTTATACTTTTTGATTAGGCCTTGAGTTATTTGTGGTTTAAACTTTTCTAAATTTAATATTTTTTTTATTTCTAAACAATGCATGTTACGCATAAATATGTATTGAATATGATGGCTTTTGTGGGAAGGTGGAGGAAATGTTGAAAAATAATATCAAAACCTGGAGTTTTTATTGATTTGAGATTTTCAATAATAGAATGAACGTCAAAAGAAGGAAATCCTTTCAGATGAAATAAGCATTGAATGTTGCACTTGAAATATTCTTCGATAAGTTTTAATTTTCTCATCTCCTGACTTAGCCCAACGTTTCATAGTCTATCTTGGCTAAAAGACAGTCTTGTTATCTCGTTCCAATTTGAGAATAAATAAAATAAAACCAGTTTTAAAATTTAAAAATAAAAATCACTTAAAATTTAGCACCAGATTCAAGTATGTTGTTATTTATAAATCTTCGTATATTTTTGCCTGGAGTTTTAACCAGAAAAGTCTGAACACCAGACGCGTGAGAAGTTTAAAATAGAAGAATCTTACGACCAAATTTATTTTTATTAGGACTCTGTGATAATCGGTTATCATCTACTATCACATGATAATAAAGATATTATTTAATTTATAATTAATAAGTTAATTAAGGTTTTCTTAATGAAAATCATAATCCATGTGCGATTTGTATACATAAAAGATAAAACTAATCTGAGTAAAGCTATGTAATAAAATCGAAAACTTTGCTTGGAAAAAGTTAGCTATTCCTTATTGTTCTCATTAGAAAATTTACATAAAAACTTAATTTTCTTGAGCAAGCTATTTATAAAATTAAACAATCCAGATTTCGTAGAGATAGTTGGATTATTGGTAACTCATGACGGGTATTTGTGGCCTCCAGCTCCTTTCTTCGTAGTCGGTCTTCTGTATCTCCTCCTCCGCTACTTCGTCGCACAGGGAGTTCGCGAAGTCCTGTAGGCTCTCCGAGAAGGACGGGTTTCTAGAAATCTGCCGTGAAGGCGTTTTGCTGACGTTGCTGTTCTGGTCGGTGGCCAGGAGGCCTGCTAGGAAGGTCCGCTTGCTTTCCACTATCGACGCCGAAGAGGGCGACGGCTGGTCCGTCTGGTCAGGTGTGTCCGGCGGAACCGAGATCTCAACCGGGGCCAGGGGTTCTACCGCAACTTCCTTCGGGACGTAGTATATTTCGTGGATCGAGTTGGACCTAAAACAAAAGAGGAAATTGCAAACTTTTGACACAACGTACAATTACTGAAAGATAATTATACAAAACTAGTTTAGCTTTCTGCACTAAAGATCTAAAGAACGTTTACAAACGACAAAACTTTCATAAAAATAATGCCACACTTACAAACATCTGTCAACATATTAATTAATAATTCTGGTTAGTCAATTAATTAAACATAATTTTTTCAAAATGAAAAATTTGTGTCATAGGCCGGATTCGAACTCATGACTTTCGGCTAAATACGCCGCTGCTCTACCACTTGAGCTATCGTGACCTCGATCCACTCGGGCACTAACTTCCCATCTCAACCCCACCTTTTGAATTTTCCTTCCTTTTTCCCATTTTTAAATCCCGCTCTCATTTCGACTCCCCGTTTTGTTCCAATTGTAAATAATTGTCTATAATTAATTGAGTATTTATATAATTAACCATAAGCAGATAAAAATAATTTAAAATTCTGGTTAGTTTCATTTACCTTATTGAACAAAAATAAATGCTTAAATTCAGTCCTTCATCTTTAAGAACTTATAGAAAATTACATTTAGTTAAAATTGAAATAGTTCAAAGAGGGAAATAATAAATATAGTCAAACACATTTTTTTTTATTTTAAGAGCTGCAATAAAAATTTAAATCATTTTAACTAACAGTAAACAGACAAAAAATTAATTTTGTATGTACTACGAGAGAAGCTCAAGTAAAATTGAAAATACAATATAAAGAATTATTCATACATTGTACATGTAAACCATTTTATATTAATTTAAAGGAAAATAATAAATTAAAAAAAAGAGTATCTACTTTTTAATTAAACTACAATGCCTAAAATTTCAATTTCGATGAGAAAAGGTAGCTCCCTCTAAAAAAGAGAATATAGAAAGTCACCGAGAATCAAATAGATTACACGACATTTGAAAAATGGCAAAAAGGATGGAAAATTCAAAAGGTGAGGTTGAGATAGAAGTTAGTGCCCGAGCGGATCGAGGTCACGATAGCTCAAGTGGTAGAGCATCGGCGTATTTAGCAGAAGGTGGTGGGTTCAATCACGATCGTGACACTGACTTTTTTATCTCAACTAAAAACCTTAATTAAAGGTTAATTAATTGAAAAGAATTATTATTATATTAATTAATTAATCGTTTTATGTTAGGTTTTGGTTAAAATGAAAAAGTTAGTGACACGAGCGGGATACGAACCCACGACCTTGGGCCAATCCACCAATATCAGTTGCATAGAAGCGGTTCAAAAAATATTTTTACGCCTGATACGTTACAAAACAATCGGAGAACACAGAGACACATCATACTCATCGATAATGTCGGATCTGAAATTGACGACTGTTCTGTACAGAAGGAATTTATTTGATTGTATAAATTTTCCCATTCTTTAACTAATTGACCATCAATGCTTAACCCGAATTAAATTTCATATTCCGTCTCATCATTCCAGAAGTCAAATAACATTCTCCAATGAATGCCATTGAACTAATTATGCCAAATTGAGTTTTATACCAAGAAAAAGAAATTTGTTAAACTCGTTCGAATATATATTTATATCTTGACAGTTTAAGCAAACTTAATATTTAGTGGTCTAGTGTATGGCAATACATAACCACCACACGTGGTATATCCCCCTATTTGTATGAAATGAATGTATTTATTTGCGTGAATGTCAAACTTTGCATGTGACGGAATATCAAGTACTCACAGGCCTACCAAATTAGTATAGGTATTTATACATATTTGTAGTATGATGTGAGGGACAGGTTATTTGCATTTCGTTGGTACTATACTTCCGAAGTGTAGTGGCCTGGCCAGAATGAATGTATTTATTAGTGTGAATGTCGAAGTATGCATGTGACGGAAAATCAAGTACTCACAGGCCCACCAAATTAGTATAGGAATATAAGTAGGTATGTATATATATATATTTGTAGTATGATGTGAGGGACAAGTCATTTGCATTTCGTTTCACTTCCGAAGTGTAGTGTCCAGAATGAATGTATTTATTAGCGTGAGTGGTGATGCGTGAAAAACGTGGCTGTCGAGGAATATCGAGTACTCCACAGGCCCGTCAAACAATTTAGATTAGGATAGTTTAGTGTATGTGCGGAATTTGTAAATAACGTTTGAATGTATTTATTAGTGTGAAAGAAAGGAGGCCGCAAGATCACATTAATCTTCCGCCTCAACTTTGTAGTGTAGGTTAGTAAATTAGCATGAATGTGAATTATGAAAATGTGTATAAATATTATATTTATGTTAATTTGTCACATGTGGGGGGACAAACAAGATAACGAATCTCGAATTAGGTGAATCGGAACGCAATTCGTTTAGTTGGGGCATAAGAAGACTCAGAAAAAAATGTGCACATAAAATAGCTAGGAAGACAAATGTGAGCAGGATGTATATATCGGGCGCCGGTGATGACCCTGGTAGTTAGACAAAAAAAATTAGTGGTCTATTGACCAAATTACTTCTTTCAAGCCGAAGGTCGTGGGTTCGAATCCCGCTCGTGACACTAACTTTTTCATTTCAACCGAAATACTTACATAAAAAGATCAGTTAATTGAAAGAGGAAATCTGATCAATCTGTCCGCTAAATATAATGGATTATTATTATTGGCCGTAAAAGCCTACAGGAAATGTTTAAATTATGGAACAAAATTCTATTTAAATAACAGGAATAAATTTTATAATTTAAAATGGATGTTTTGCATACATTTGGACCTTGGATGGCAATAGGATAGATTAGTTTATATGTGCATGTTTGGAGTCAGAGCTTTATAGCACTCAGAACGGATAAAGCTAATCCAAAGGATGTAAAGTTTAAGAAGATAGAAGGTTTAAATTTTAGGTCGTGAAATGACCTTAGCCGTTAAAACGACCTTAAAAATTAATAATAAAAACAATTACTTGTTAGAAAAGCAAAATAGGGATTTAAAAAAATAGAAAGAAAAGAGTCACATCTTTTAAGTTCGAGAAATATCATATCTTCATCTACTATCATGCACTATGAAACTTTCTTAATTTCACCATTAAAATACTAAACCCAAAGTAAGACAGATAACAGAGAAACTCGTCAGACAAAAGATGACAATACAAACAGAACAAAGAAAAGGAAAAGACGCGAAAATAGCGCACAGGCTCGTCAAGTGAAAATACACAACGATCAGTACGATCTGGGTCGTCCAACAACCGGGGCCAATTACCTCGAGAATTCCTGAATCGTTAGGCCCACATATACACGAGGGGATCTCCTTAAAAGAAGATTTCTAGGATGTTACCACCTACTTGGATGGGCGAGACGAAGTGATGCAAGAATGGAATGAAATGTCTCAAGAAAGTGGAGACTGTAGAAACTACACGAGAGTATATTTTTGATAGTGTTTCAAGAGGTTTTATGAGTGTGTGCACGTTTTTTACTGCTATACGTTACTTCGTGGAAAGAGGTTCTCCATAGTTCGAAATCCGAATCGTCGAAAACAAAAAACTGCGAGAAAGAACTATCTTTTAGAAAGATTCATACCTCGTTCATCATTTCTACTTAGCCTGTTTGTTTGTACGGAGGAATGAATTTAACTCTTTCTCTTTGAGACTCACCCAATTAATTTTGATCGGTTTTTTTGTCTCCTTTTCAAATATTAACAGCAATATTTGGGCTTTGCTTAATGTTTTTTGTATTAAAAGGAGTTTGCTACGCGTTGAATTATGGAAAGGCCAACTGAAGATTAGGTGTTCCCAAGTTTGTGACTAATGAACCTCGTAGGCTTTATGTTTTTATTGGTTGGTTAACGCCATTGCCAACTATCATCTGATAGAAAAAAACGTCTAGAACTCAGGCAGGGAAAAAGTTCTGTGTATGTTCGCCTGTAGGATTTTTCCAAATAGTTTCCCAAGATTTCATCGTCTTCATGCAATAATTGTTTGTTCGCGGTCAGAGGTTATTTTATGTCAGAGGGAAGGAGTCCTCCAGAACTGTTTCCTTTGCTTTTTTATCTGCTTCTTCATTCCGTACGAATGTTTAGCCATTTGATTCCGATTAACCAGTAATTTGTCCAAGTTGCTTTACATTAGCAGAACAATAGCATAAACATCGTCAAACAACATAATGTACCTTGTTATTTGATATTATCAAAGCATTTTTGTTTCTTTTTGTAAATCCGAATTCGCCAAAGTTTGGAGATTCCAACAACTGGCCTGTAGGAGCGGGCGTGCCACAGGGCAGTATACTCGGTCCAATGCTATTTCTTTTCTACACTACAGTTTTCCCAATTAAACCTTCTACCCTCCTTGCATCCTTTGCCGGGAACACGGCCGTGCATTGCTGTGATCCGGCAGATTTGGAACTTTTAAGCACAGTTAGACCTTCCAATATCCAAACATTCAGTACTTCTTCATAACTCATAATCATAGTCAACAATAACGTAATTAAATTAACCGCACCATATTTTGAAGGTTCCACGATAAATCCTTCTCACCAAACAAATTAGCCCAATCCATGTCCAACATAATCCACTCGTTAATCCAGGGAAATTATATTACACTCACGACATATATAATAAATATAGAATAACCACATAATCACCTTCATATTTATTGTTAGATTATTTAAAATATTTTAATCTTAAATGAAATAAAATAGCGAAAAATTGTGTGTCCCCTGACGGTGCTATAGCTTGGGCTCCTTTTTTCACTACTTTCAATAAAAAGAATATTTCGACTTGCAAAAATAAGTACTTTCCCAAAATAAATGCAAATCTGAAGGAGGTCTGGGTTATAGGTTAGGTACTGTAAAAGTTTGTTCCCATCCATTTTTTCGAATGTTTGCCCCGTGTAACTTGTAAGGCCGAGCATTATGTTGAGGAATTATACTAAGTTTCTGTTAAATAAAGCTTAGTATCGTTGCTTGAAAACCTCGTTTGTTCACGGAAAAGTTAGGAGCCATCTGAATAGAGCTCAGATTGAAAGATCCTATCATCCAAAGTGCAAAACGCATGGCCTTTTTACAAAAATTAAACAAGTTTGCAACCAAAAGTTCGATTGACCTTGGTCATATCATTTCTTTGGATTGCGACAATATATCCACTTCTCATCACATGAAATAATCCATCTAATAAAACGATCATCGTAAAGATTTGAAGGGAGCATAAGGGGAAGTTCAGCCCCTTCTCTAGTCGATCTTCTCTCCTTTCCAATGTCACGTAGGTGCTGAAATACTGCTGACTGATAGATTTCTGTTGAAAAGTGGCAGGAGATGTATACTGTATCAATTGTCATATTTGGGAGTAAAATTTTGAATACTATTTAATTCACTAATTTCGTGGTCCGCTTGACCAATTAATATATTACGTNAAAATTCAAAAGGTGGGGTTGAGATGGGAAGTTAGTGTCCGAGTGGATCGAGGTCACGATAGCTCAAGTGGTAGAGCAGGGGCGTATCTAGCCGAAGATCGTAGGTTCGAATCCCGCTCGTGCCACTGACTTTTTTATCTCAACTAAAAAACCTTAATTAATTGTTTGAATACTATCTTAACCGCCGAATGAACTGTTCATTTTAATGTTCACCACGTCCTCAGTCTGTTCATTCGGAGTTTTCATCCAATTTGGAGTATAAGTGGGCGGCTACAGCAGAAATTCATAGACTACGATTTTCACTTCTTCCGACATAGGGAAAGTTTTGTCTAAAAAAACATTGGCTGGTAAATATGATAGCCCGAAGGGGCTAGGTCTGGTCTATGTGTTGGCTACAGTAAAAGATCGACCCCACGATTTTGTCAAATGTTTGCCACTTAATCCGGAACATGTAAGGTTGAGGTTTGCCTAAATAGAATGAACCTTGAACAATTTTTATTCAAAAATCGTGAGATGCGGTCTGGTGTGATGTAGGTTTTAGAAAATCATTTTCTTTATCGTGCCAACGTTTCGATCTTTATCAAGATCATCTTCAGGGCCTGGGATTTACAAACATTGTTTACATTTAACAAATACATGTAGGTTAAAGGTAAACAATATTTGTAAATTCCAGGCCCTGAAGATGATATAATAAAGATCGAAACGTTGGCACGATAAAGAAAATATTTTTCTGAAACCTACATCACACCAGACCGCATCTCACGATTTCTGAATAATCATCGATTAACGGTCACTAATCACCACACACACCTTGAATAATCTCTTCATTTGGAGTTTCCTCCCCTTCCATTTTAACCATAGATCGTGTGGTTTGAGCAGCTGTAAACATCCAGGAGAGCTCATTATAAAAAAATTTCATACTACCCAGTCATTATCGTTCGATTATCAAACACATAATGGTAATAACCAAGGATGTAATGGCTTCTAAATGACTAAATGATTCAAGATAGATAAAGTATTAAAGTAATACCAATAACGATAAAGGTTGAAAATAAGGAAGAAATTTTACACTCTAATACATCATGTTCTTATAATTTGTGAAAGTATTTTTGGGATACTCATATTAAGAATTATTATGATGTGGTTAATTTATATCTCAGTGTAGGGGTTCATAAAATGACGATATTTTAAATGCCTGATTCATAGATAAACAAATGCACTGTAGAAGAAAAGGAATACAAGAACGTCAAATCACATGACAAAACGAATAAAGCCATATTGAGAAGGGATTTATCCTTAGATTCGGTGATTTTTGTGAAATATCAGATAAGCCAAGCTGAATCGTCATTTTATTATTCGCCGGCTAACAAATGGAACAACTTCCCCGATTTAGATCACTCCGGGTGATGGGTAAAACACTCATACAGTCACAATATTGTTGGTGGTTTTCATATTCAATTTGTTCTCTTTCTCCATCATGTGCACTTCAGTGAGGGTTAATAAAGCATTTATTTTCATCAGATGATGGGTCGGATGATGCTGAAAATTCCAACTATGCGGAATAATTTGTTGGCCGGCGATAAAGGAGGAAAACTGGGGGCACTTAATGGAATAAGCTCGATGAGCCAAGACCCAGCGTTCAAAGTTGTCTACATAGCCCCTGTCATGTTCGTGAAAAAACTTAGTGTGCCAAGTAACTATCCAACAGTAAACAACAATATTTTGACAAATCAAAACATTAAAAAGCAACTATTAAATTTTTACTATTCAACAGTATTAATAATCCCATTATGTTTAGTGGTCTAATTGACCAAATTAATTCTTTCAATTAATTATTCTTTTTATGTAAGGTTTTGCTTGCGATGAAAAAGTTAGTGTCACGAGCGGAATTCAAACCCCGAGATCGAAGTTAAGATAGCTCAAGTGAGGGTTAGAGCAGCGGCGTATTGAGCAGAAGGTCGTGGGTTTGAATCACGCTCGTGACTAACTTTTTCATCTCAACCAAGACTTTACAGAATAATTAATTGAAATATTAATAATTATTGATTAACCTGTTCAGTTGGGGCGCTTCTCGGTTATTTAAGGCGAGGGATCTGCACCTTGTGAGTTTGCATCTTTTCTTCCTGGGTGGACGTTTCGGCTCTACTATACCAAGAGGTAAAGGACCGCTTATATCTGCCAAAGTGTATTTCCTGAAATAGAAGTAAATAAATTATTATAATATTTAAAGTATACTATCTTATATAAACCAGTAATGTACTACAAAATGTATTCTATATTAGAAAAAAACACAGTCAAACAGAAAAACTATCCGGCAGATAGAAAAACAAATAGGACTCGTTTCATTTTGTCATTTTTGTCAGTATTGGACGTTGGGACATTTTAATTTGTCTCATTGTTTTTACCAATAAATATTTGTTCATGTTATTTTCAATTGGGAATATCAATTAGAAGTTAACACACTTATTCTTTAGTAAATTCACTAGTTTTCGTAGTCCGCTTGACCAATTAATGTCTTTCAATTAATTAAGGTTTTTAGTTGAGATAAAAAGTCAGTGTCACAAGCGGGATTCGAAACCACGACCTAAGGCTAGACACGCCGCTACTCTACCACTTGAGCTATCGTGACTTCGATCCACTCGGACACTAACTTCCCATCTCAACCCCACCTTTTGAATTTTCCGTCCTTTTTGCCATTTTTCAATCCCGCTCGTGTCATTGACATTTTTGTCTCAACTAAATATCTTAATTAATTAAGAAAAGATATTAATTGTTCAAGCGGACCACGAAAACTAATGAATTTAATAAGTAAAAATGAAGTATACCTTCACTAAAGCTCTCCGTGGCCATTTCATTTGTCGCCGAGAATCAAATAGATTACACGACATTTGAAAAATGGCAAAAAAAAAGTAAAAACAAGTTATGGATTGTTCCGATAACGTGAAATAAAAGCAAATTTTTAAACATCGGAAAAAGAGAAAACGCATATGAATGGGGAAAATGGAAAAAGTTTCAAACTTAAAGCTAAGGAGTAAAAATCAGCATTATAAAAGAGTTTTATCGATTTAAACTCTTTAAAAAAATATATAAGCATCATTTATGTCGGGATTAGTATTCAAAATGTTAATAAATAATTCACTAGTTTTCGTGGTCCGCTAGACCAATTAATTAAGGGTTTTAGTTGAGATAAAAAAGACAGTGTCACGAGCGGGGTTTAAAAAATGGCAAAAAGGAGAGAAAATTCAAAAGGTGGAGTTGAGATGGGAAGTTAGTGTCCGACTGGATCAAAGTCACGATAGCTCAAGTGGTAGAGCAGAGGCGTATTTAGCCAAAGATCTCGGGTTCGAATCCCGCTCATGACACTGACTTTTTTATATCAACTAAAAACCTTAATTAATTGAAACATATCAATTGGTCAAGCGGACCACGAAAACTAGTAAACCTCTAAGTAAGGTTTTTTCATGCAAAATTGAAGCTTTTTAATATAATTTTACCCTATTTTATTATTTTTTTATCTAACCCTAAAATATATTAAATGTTGTTGGCGCCAGCCATCTCATTTTTAAATATACTTTGTTTTGGATTATTGCAATCCCTAATCCTACTCCTACGCTCCTTGCAATCCCAGTCCTGTTCTACTCCTATGATAGAAAGGTCCTCACGTCTCTCTTTTCTCATGCTTTTCTCCCGTATTAATTAAAAAGTCTTTAATCACGCGACCACGAAAAACCCTCTGTGCTGCTGCATCGATCTCTTCCACCTGAATTCATCGGATATTCTTCGACGAAGTCAGAGGAATCGGGCCCGAGCTCCCTACGCTTCTTGCAGCCGGCATCTGTAGGAAGGTGGTACGTCCCTATGAATTTCTCCCTTATTTTATTTTAATTTAAAATTTTCTTAAATTTATTTGATTAACGTTTCATTTTTTTAATTATTTTTTTTCTTACACGGCATTGGCCGTAACAAATGTTAAAACCAATTCAATCAAATAAAACCACGCACATAACAAAAAAGTTCTGATATAAACTATTGCTTCAAACTTAAAAACGCCAAGCGGCTTACAGACGAATGCAGCCAGGATTGTCAGAAACAAATACTTATTTCATAATACGGATCCAAAAGTGTTGAAATTAATTGTCGAAACCTTTCTGGTCAGCAGTTACAATTACTTTTATCACCCATTGTACGTTGAATTCCGGACGCCATAAAGATGAAACGCATACCTCTGAAATTTTACCGTTTCTTGAGAAAGAGCTTAGGAGCGAGACGACTGCCTGTCATTACGACGGACCACCGATCAGAGCTTTCCATCGGCGTAAGTAGAGACAATCTTTATCGCAGCCTACGCAATATCGTTTATCGTTTTTCCCAGTACCCCTCCTTACCATAATCGCCAACTGGAAAGCCTACAATATAGCCATCAATATTGTCAGAAAGTGATTTTCACTTAATAAATCTGTTTTGTTTTATCAAACTGGTTTCATTATCATATACAATACACTGAGGGACAAAAAATTCCGCCACTCGTATTATAACTTGATTTGCATGTATTGTTATATATTAATCAAAGTTTCACGTTTTTTAACGTTTAATAATTGAGTCTTTGTCTAAAAAAATGAACAGTAATGTAAATTACTAAGGAAAATGAAAAAGAAAGATAAAATTTGTCTTAGATTTTAATTACCTTCACTAATTTTTGTGAGATAAAAAAATTAATGACGCGAGAGCGATTTAAAAAAGGCAAAAAGGACGGAAAATTCAAAAGGTGGGGTTGAGATGGGAAGTTAGTGCCCGAGCGGATCGAGGTCACGATAGCTCAAGTGGTAGAGCAGCGGCGTATCAAGCAGAAGATCGTGGGTTCGAATCCCGCTCGTGACACTGACTTTTTTATTTCAACTAAAAACCTTAATCAATTGAAAGATTTTATTGGTCAAGCGGACCACGAAAACTACTGAATTTACTAAGGATTAAGTGTGTTTACCTCTACTTGATAATCCTAATTTAAAATATAGCATAAACAAATATTTATGGGTACAAAACAATGAGACAAATTAAGGGCAGATTTGATTTTACCGAGAAAATGCAAAAAAAATAATCAATTGGGTGGAATTTTTTCCCGTCAGTGTATTTTCGAGCCACACTATCGTGTAAAGATGTTAAAGGATGTCATTAATATAAAATAAATATTTTGCAAAGACGGTATGCATGTAAACTATGTTTGGACTTTCTTCTTTTAGTTCGTAAAACAAATATTAATTTCACTTAAATAAGCAACGTTCTACAGCCGTAGAGTAATTCAATCTACCGTCAAACAAATTCGAAAAAGAGAACAATAAAATAATAAAGAACAGTAAAATATTATTACAAAGCATAATTGAAAGGGGCGTCGAAACTAGCAAATTAAACATGACAAAATTGACAGCCACAATAACAATAGTGAATAACAATATTTATCTCATTTAAAATTAATTGTTGATAAAGATTTACATTATTTGTTTAATCAAAATCTACCCTCTTAACTGGAGCTAGGAGAAGAACTACCATAATATTCACTAGTTTTGGTGGTCCGCTTGACCAAATTTCTTTAATTTAGGTTTTTAGTTGAGATAAAAAAGTCAGTGTCACGAGCGGGTTTCGAACCAACGATTTTCGGCTAGATACGCCGCTGCTCTACCACTTGAACTATCGTGACCTCGATCCACTCGGACACTAACTTCCCATCTCAACCACACCATAATACATCAAAGAATTAATGGTCTGAACTAAGTAAAGCTTCAATGAACGAGAAATATGTAAATTCTGCGATGAAAGAAAAACAAACCCCAAGAAATGCGCCAACAGACTGAGGTAAATACTTACTTCCGGAAGAGAAAATATTTTTGATTTTCTTGTACAACTCTTCGAGAAATACAACCGGGTTAAGTAATAAAATGCATAAACGAATTAATCCACAACGGTGTACTGAAAGTATAGCAGGGGGAATACGATAGCTCTGGGAGGGCGAAGTATGATTACACACACCCGAAATCTACATGGTTTTACATTTAATCAACAACATTGAATTAACGCCGACAAAAAGGTACTTGTAACTTTTTTAAAGCGGTTTATTCGTCCTGGGGTAAAGTTTTGAGTGTTCGAAACCAATTCGGCCGAACGCTTTGTCTCCCTGGTGGTTCAATTAAAGAGCTGTCAGCGGTTCGTCAACCGGCAGACCAGCAGGCTTTCATTTTCAATTAAACAATTGTCGGCAGTTTAGTAGAAATTCATAATAACTAGTATATTTGCCCAAAACTATCCCTGTCTGTTTTTTTTTTAATTTTTTTTTAAAGACGGTAAAAGGGAGTGGAGACAGAAATATGCGTGTTTTAAATGCGTGCAATTAATGATGTTATGAAATCACAAATCGATCTATTGATTCGATCACAAAAACCCTCTAAACATCGGTTCTCAAGGTTTGATAATGCAAACTATAGCCTCATACGAGGCGAAGGCAGTGTTTGGAACTGCAGTCAGCGACATTAATGATCTGACCCTGACATGGGTCCCGGGGCACTCGGTAGAGGCAACGAACAGTTGAACTGGCCAAAGTGTGGGCCACCCTACCCACTGGTCCTGAACCCTACTGTGGTGTAGTATCCTGCCACAAAGAGGATACATCTTAAAATGAATCCTTAATTAATGCAAAACCTGGTGGGACAATACCGCAGATATGAGGCACGCGAAGAGATTCATAGAAGGACTCTCGTAGGACTCCTGACAGGGCATTTGGTTCCAAAATACTCGGTCGTCCTTAAAAGGACAATGAGAATCTTTAACGTCCGCACCTAGCCTATTCGTCCTTATCGGACGTTTTGATTCTGAAGATAAGAGCTAACGCACCTCCGCATACGACATATAAGTGTGTTGCAGCAGCGTTGGTGTAGAGGCAGCTCAGCCCCGAGAGGCCAAGACAACCTGGTTGTCCGCTTGCCCATTCCGAGTGGTCGGTCCTCATTAAGCATCGAACCGTATGTCGTGCTCAAAGGGTTACCTGAGCCTAAATACATCAGCCTGGTCTCTCGCGCACTCCCTTGATAGAGAAGGCCACTCTACCTCCCAGAGTAGTGGGTCTTCCCTAGCGTAGAAACTACCGGATCCGATCCGGCCGCGGTTTTGTTTAAAGTGGAATTGCTAACCACCCCCTAGAGGAGAGGAGACCGCCTACGGTAAAAGCCTCCAATCGAGCTCAGCCTACACCTACGTTACGATTCACTACCCGTTCCCATCCGCCACTACTCCTGGATTCGAGGCCGGGTGTATAACGATGGTCATGAGCATGTTTCGTGTGAAGGTCACAGATAGAAGACAGCCTCTTCTCTAACCAGGGGTCTCACCACGGCCAACTACGAGGCCATTCCCATTGTAACAGAGGCTGAACCGTGGAACATTTCTGTTACCCCGTAGTACAGATGGTTATGCACTCTCCCCCGTCTATGCCGACAGAATCTGGTGCCCTAACCCTCGTGTGCCTATGATAAGACACCCGTCGCCCCATGCCGACCCGAGGCCGACACGAGTACAGCTTGTGCTTAAGAGAGGTTGCCAAGTCCTCAAGGTTACACCATTATTTTACGCCCAGACACCCTACTAGTAGACAAGGGTTGGGAGGGGGTCACAGGATAGAATGAACGAACCTGGATTGAGAAAGGGACGTGGATGAGGAGACGAGGTACACCTTTCCTGGCCCCGAGCCTTAACCGGATTGTACCACCGGTCATCGCGTCCTGACAGGGCACTGTCACTTAAGAAAGCATATGCACCGAATAGGAATACAGACAGAAGAAACATTGGGCAGATACTGCTAGGTAGAGGAGGAGGGCCGCAGAACACATTTTATATTTCTGTGAATTTCTATGTAGGTACAGGTTCTTGTAACTAGGACCAGAGAAACCACAAGCAAGATCCTACACCAAGGAGCTGCTGGCAAAGCTATGGAGGCTGATTGACCTGAATCTGGCCTGTGAGTTATTAATAACATGGAAACACAATAGATCTATTCAGGTCGAGCTGCAGAAGGCCTTGTGGCCACCTCTTTTATCCCTATCCCACTCCCTAATGCAAACTAAGACAATCAAATCGTATATTGCTAAAAAAATCGTTTTTTGTCGTAAGCGCTCTCGAAGACAGCCTCGTCAGCATGGACCAAGGATACACCATCATCACTCATACAACGTCGACAGCAAAGATCCATCATCATTTCAGGACCATCTCATTAGCAAAGAAAAGCCATCAAACATTATCCCGTGTAAATTATTTATGACAATCTCTTCAGCAAGGACTTGAGATCTACTATCATCTCAGGTTACAAACACAATCTCATAAGCAATGACCAGGGATGATGGTCGATTCCAGGTCACATACACAACCTCGTCAGAAAGGTCCTAAAATTCAGTGATATCATCCCAGTCCTCATACACGACCTCGTCAGCAAGGTCTAAGGATCCACCACCAACCAAGGGCATAAACAATTTCGCCAGCAAGGATCACAGATCAACTGTCATCCAAGTCCCAAGTGTCAACCTGACACGAGACATTGTGATAAAAATTTATTTGAAATTTTAAAAAAAATTAGATAAATTTAGATAACTGATAAAACAACAATATAATTGCAACTCCCTTTCCATGTTTTTGTGGATTTCAAATAAAACTAAATAAAATTTCACTTAATTTTTAAAACAGCCTACTTTTTTAAAGAAGCATATTATTTTCAAGTAAAAGAGTTTTGTTTCATGAAAATTGAATTGTTTGTTCATAAGTTATGAATTTGTTTTAAATGAGGTAAACGGCATGGCAGATTTTTTTATTTATTCAAAAATGAAAATTCAACCAATTCAAAGTATTAAACTAGTTTTCAAGTTAGACAATGATCTTTTCACGAAATATTCTTTAGTGTTTTTTAAACAATAAAAATTAAATAAAAAATTTCATTAGCCGTGTAAATAAAAAGTCTTGTAACAATTTTGTAAAAAATTACTTTTATTTGAAAGAAACTCTTCCATGTTATATTAGTCATTCAGCTGTGATAATATTTGAGAAACCACAAGCAGACGGTGTAGATCGATTCGGGCTCACCCTCCTCCGGGAAAAACGGGCGAAACTCGTATGTAATTGTAACAAATTCAATTAGAAAATGCAATTCAACTTACAAACAGGGCCAATTGTTTTAATCACACGTCTGTGTAATAACATCAGTGGAAGCAATCATCGTAATCAGTTTCCCCCTGTCCGTTTCAAGCACAATCTAGATCTTCACGCCCTTATTACGGTGATTTAATATCCCGTTTCACCTTCCAAAGTACGATGTTTAGCAATTGCAAACGCGTATGTGACGGCCTGAATCCGGTTGGGGTTTCGTATTCATAAAATATCCGAGGTGTTATTTGCGCTTGGGGTAGTTCTGAAACTGCAGGATGCATGTAGGAAAAGATGGATTTTAATTACAATTAAATCCATTAGATTTAGTGGTCTGATTGACAAAATTACTTCTTTCAATTAATTATTCTTTTTATGTAAGGTCTTGGTTGAAACGAAAAAGTGTCACGACCGGAATTCGAAGCCGAAGGTCGTGGGTTCGAATCCCGCTCGTGACACTAACTTTTTCATAGAAATGATGAATGATGGAGTGAGTGTGGTGTTCAATCCCTTTTAAAAAGATAGTTTCTAGTCACAGTAAGTTGCCTTGCAACGATACGGATTTCGAGCTCTTTAGCTCATCATCAGTTTGTAGAAGTCCGTCAACCTGAGGATGAGCTAAGGGGATCCGGATCGTTGCAAGGCAACTTTATGAGTAGGAACTATCTTTTTAAAAAGGATCTAAGTTTTTCATTTCAACCAAGACCTTACTTACAAAGAATATTTAATTACAATAATAACTATACTTTTTTTTTTTTTTTTTTACGAATGTTCGCAACAACAGAAGCATATCAACCCTCGGGGTGTCGGTGTCAAAGTGTCAAAAACCGTTGGATTCGAACCCGGGACCTTTACCTTACTGTGATGAGCGCCGTATCAACGCCTAAACCGTTGCGGCCACCGACGCCCCCCCAAATTGATGTTTATAAAATACCATAAAATAAATCATCAATTTTTAATGGCAGAACTATAAAGTAAGGTGAACTAAAATTAATATAGTTTTAAATAAGTAAACCTTCTGTGATTTTATGTGGGGGTTAATTATTCCCACTAAATAATCAGAATTTGTCGTCCATTAATAAAATTTTGGTGTTACGCCAAATGAAAACGTTCAAGTTAGACAAGCATAAAAGTATGTAGACTTAGACAAAACAAAACAAAAACTTTTCGTCTCTGAAATAAATAATGCATGAACAGCTCATTAAAAACTTACTTAAATAACTTAACATTAAATAACAAATTTTTACTAAGCACAACTTGAAAATGAAATGGTGTAGTGTTTGGCGCTTGTTTTATATAACTTGCTTAACTCAAAAATAAATTAATTAGATTTATTAATCACAATAACAGGTCGAAAGATAATCATCGAAAAGCCAATTATTTTTTTATTGAAATAGAGATCGTGAAATGCGGTCTGGTGTGACGTAGGTTTTAGAAAAACATTTTCTTTATCGTGCCAACGTTTCGATCAATAAGATCATCTTCAGAGCCTGGGATTTATCAACATTGTTTACATTTTACAATTACTTGTAGGATATGAAAAAAAGGATTTATACAATGCTACATGTAATTGTTAAATTTAACCAATGTTTGTAAATTCAAGGCACTGAAGATGACCTCAATAAAGATCGAAACGTTGGCACGATAAAGAAAATGTTTCTCCAAAATCTACGTCACCAGAGCGCATCTCACGATCTCCAAATAATCATGGACGGTCACTTATCACCACTCATCCTTTTGAAATCAGTTTTATAACAAATTGCATTTGGAAAAAATAATTATTCAAGATTCACATAGAAAATTATGAATTTAATTGAATAATTTCACCTGTAGGACTTTTCGTCGATGAATGGATATTTGTCACACGACATCAATAAAACGTTAAAATTTTTATTAAAGGTTTCCATTATTTTTTTAATAAACACAACACGTCCCTAAAACGGCTTTCAGTTCCTGTTTATTGGCCGTTAACGTGCAACGCGTTGTACTTACGGCATTATTAAGGAAATATTGTACTTCCCGTAAAGAGATTTCTCAGAAATTGGAATTGTTTGATCGCTAAACAGAAAAATATTTTCGGTCAACATAAAGAAACATGTTGACGCTTTTAACATACAAGCTGAATAGCCGAATCGAAACGACCAAGGACTTTGTTATTATGCTCGAAATATAAAAAAGAAGGAGACTCAAATATCAAAAAATTATCGTTTTCGGTTACAAAAAAAGCAACAATCTTGAATTGTAAAAGAAACATGATGGAATAAATTTATCATAATTCTATTTTCGGACAAAGTTTCTACCTTAATTCAAACGTTCTTGATGGCTGATAGCAGCATAAAAGTATAATGTTATTTTTTAAAGTAATTAAGAACATTCTGTTCTGGATCTAATTTATACGGTTCACAGTATAAAGTCATAACAACGACGGCACTGTAGAGTGTAAGAACCTTTATTAAAAGCATAACTGTACATGTTCTTGCACCGTTTATCTTTTTTTTTCTTTCTCTCTCTCTTTTGGTTTGGACATTACACGCTCGGAACGAAAAAGGATACGCTTTCTACCTCTGAAGCGCGGTTCGGGAAAATTCCGGATATTTAAAGAAATTCAAAATCTGGTCTAAAATGATGAAAATTAGATTAGGATTGAAATTATTTACACCACTCACCTCACAGGTGGTTCGGCCTGCTTGGGATTCCTTCCGTCCTTCATGCAAATGTGAAACTGAAAAAATAATACAAAAGGTTAATATGACTGAATTCCTCAAATACTGAAAATAAAATAAAGAATTAAGGTTTTTAGTTTAGATAAAAAAGTCAGTGTCATGAGCGGGATTCGAACCCAAGATCTTCGGCTAGATACGCTGCTGTTCTACTACTTGAGCCATCGTGACTTCGATCCACTCTGACACCAACTTCCAAGTCACGATAGCTCAAGTGATAGAGTAGCGGCGTATCTAGCCGGAGATCGTGGGTTCAAATCCCGCTCGTGACACTGAATTTTTTATCTCAACTTAAAACCTTAATTAATTGATTGATATTAATTGGTCAAGCGGACCACGAAAAATAGTAAATTAGTAAAAATGTTCCATTTTGTGGCATCATAAATTTTTATAAGTGTGAAAAATAATGTTTATTTAAATGTAAATTATCACCCCTATAATTATTATTTGTTTTATGAATATATGTAATTATTTGAAAAATATACAGTTAAGATAAGTTTCAACCTGGACCAACATAATTTGGATTATGGTTTGAACTTTTTGTAAAAAAAACGTTCGTCAACCCCTGGTTTAAACTAACTATACAATTACAAAGTTTGAGTAAATTTCGAGTTGAGGAACCATGATTAATTAGAAAAAATAATGTCCTTCCTCTATGCATAGCTTTGACTAAAGTATAACAAACGACCTCCCGAAAACAAAAGATACATTTTAATCCTGAGTCTGTAAAATCAAATTCCTTACGGCCGTCGTTCCGGAACGACGCACCTTTTCTAGAAAAAACCGTAAGCATGTTGGGTGTATTTTTTTAATCGAAGCGGTGTCAGAAGCCTTTCACACTGGACGACTTTTGTCGTGCGATAATAGTCGGACGATATGTATCGTTGTATCAATGGGCTCACACTGACCGACAAAAGTCGTGTCGTCCGAAAAATCGCCGGTGTTGTTGGACCACCAGGTTTATCACATCGTGAACGGTTGTAATATCCCTTTGGTTACTTTACCGTCGTTTACGAGATTTAAAAAAATCAACCACATTGTGTCCATAACTACCACTAACTATGGACACTAACTTCCCATCTCAACCCCACCTTTTGAATTTTTCCTCCTTTTTGCCATTTTTCAAGTTTGTTAGTGGCGTATAGTGGAGTAGCGGCGTATCTAGAAGATCGTGGGTTCGAATCCCGTTCATGACACTGACTTTTTTATCTAAACTAAAAACGTTAATTAATGGAAAGATTTAATTGGTTCAAGCGGACCACGAAAACTAGTGAATCAAGAATTAACTTTAGCTTTTAAAATTTTTGACAAGATTGTGGGCTAGACCAAATTTCTATAAAGCCCAACATGACAGGATAAAGAAGTGGAAAAACTATCATAACATGGTAAAATACATAATCAAATTTTAAAAATCAATTCTAAATGTGGAAATCTAAACTTAAATTTACCTAGAGAAGTAAATTGCATAATTTTTTGAAAAGCCAGTTGGGAAAAAATGGAATGCCTTGTGAATATTCGTATCACTAATTGCTATTCTTCTACTAAATTATTCAATCTTTCCATTTGTCCTTAATTGCACAACACGCTTGTTCCATTGACAGAAAATAACTTGAAGAAGAAATAATTGTGCAAATGTTAAAGAATAAATTATCAAATATTCTTAATAAATATACGATACATTATTGATTGTACTATATTATGTGAAAATGATTAATAATTATTTATATATGTGTGATGATTATTGACCGTTATTCGATGATTATTCAGAAATCGTGAGATGCGATCTGGTGTGATGCAGTTTTCAGAAAAACACATTCTTTATCGTGCCAACGTTCCGATCTTTATTGAGATCATCTTCAGAGCCTGGGATTTACAAACATTGTTTAAATTTAACAAAAACATAGCATTGCATAAATTCACTTTTTTCCACATCCTACATGTTTTTGTTAAATTTAAACAATGTTTGTAAATCCCAGGCCCTGAAGATGATCTCAATAAAGATCGAAACGTCGGCACGGTAAAGAAAATGTTTTTCTAAAACCTACGTCACACCAGACAGAAGTATTACTGAAAAAATGTTAAGTTACACGAACATACCATTTTCAATAAAAAAATGGAAATTGTGATTTCAAACCTAAGGAAAAGTATGATAAATCAACCATAAAACCGGGTACTCGGGGAATATCAAACCTTCCGAGTATCATCATAATAATCATGAAACTATCAAACTGCTTGAAGCTAGTGAAGTTTTAACTCGCCGGGCAGATTAAAATCTTACTACGTTATTAACGTTATTTCTACTCTAATTATTAACTGTACATCAATTTTGTTAATATCACACTGTTCGCAATTAAAACGAAAGGAATTCTGTTATGTCGGTTTATGCTTTGAGGGTTTTTTACGATTGACGCTGCGTTTGTAATCTCGCTATAAACGGCATTATATGGCCGTAAACGTTTAATATACTTTTAAATCTTTCCGAAGTTTAAATTTCTTTTGTATAAATATTTCCATATCTTAAAAACTGGTATGTACATGGATTGATTTACGGTATATAAAAAATAAGTATATTTTTATATATCATCAATTTTATCTGTTCGGAAACATTTTAATACATTATTCTAGGAAATTCTATATTGAAAATTAGACGAAGAAAACCTGTTTGAACTTATAAACATTCCACTTACAAACATTTATTACAAATATTTATTAGGTTTCGTGGTCCGCCTGGCCAAATAAATTATTTTCAATTTAATTAAAGTTTTGGTTGAGATATAAAGGTCAGCGTCACAAGCGGGACGACCTTCGGATAATTACCACTGCTCTACCACTTGAGCTATCGTGATTTCGATCCACTTGGACACTAACTTCCCATCTCAACCCCACCTTTTTTTAATTTTCCTTCCTTTTTTCCTTCCTCTCAAGTGGTAGAGCAGAGGCGTATTTAGCCAAAGGTCGTGGGTTCGAATCCTGCTTTAGACACTGACGTTTTTATCTCAACCAAAACCATAATTAAATTGAAAAGAATGTATTACAAAAGTGAAAGGTTAGAATGATAAACAAGTATATTGTAAAATAATCTCGTTTCAAATTAAATAAAGATTGTTAAGCATTGAACAACGAACATGATAATCGACGAATTTGTGGTTTAGTAGTGGAAGATGTTACAGTGGAGGGCTGGCAGGATCCTCCGAACTGCTAAGAAAATGACGACCACTACTGCTTCCCTAGAGCCAAGGGAAATTAGTGTTTTTCAGTATCACTCAGGACACTTCAAAACACACCTAAAGCTATCAACCACTGTATATTTTCATCCAGGAGAAATTACTGCTAAAAACTCCAGTAGCCTACTCGCATAAAAAAATACAATTAACGCTTCGGTTGGCACTTCAGGCAGATAACGTTCTGGGGAAGTCTGTTTACGCTATGATCCCAAAATTCTGGGGGTTTTTTTCGGATTAGACTAGGAGAAAAGGATCCTAATTAAGCCAACTGTGTCAGTTATAAAGATGGCTAGATCGAGTTCGGGTCAGAAGCAAGATCTATGAAGTTATCAAGCAATATAATTCACACAGTCCAGAAAATATGCTACTGTTTTTCTGACTGCGGCTATTAAACACCGTTAGGAAAATCCAGTCTGGTTCTTCCAAACAAACCAATAGCCATCTACCCACAGAGCTAGACTGTATTAAAACCAACTCCTCATCAATAGTAACGTCCAGAGCTTTTTGGAATTACATCAACCCCGTCAAATATTGGAGAAAACTACAAAATTACCATCGTTTGGGTACCAGAGCATATTGGGCAGAAGAGCAACGTGGATGCGGATAAAACAGCTAAGGAAAATTTGATGAAGAAGCCTAGCAGCCCTGGACGATTTTAGGACATATGGGAATGTATTCCAATTGAAAAAAAGAACACAGCAGAAAATAACAATAAAACTCCTAAACCTAGAACAGGTTAAAACACTAAATAAGAACTATAGGGTTTCTATCGAATGTTGTTTGTGTTCATTTATTGTAATGAATGTAATTTATTAGCGTGAAAGGAAGAGGTTGCTTATAACTCCGCCTCGAGGAATATCGAGTACTCTGGGGTGAGTGGATGACGTCTGGAAAGTAAAAGTAATTTATTAGCGTGAAAGGAAGGGGTTGCTTATAACACCGCCCCGAGGAATATCGAGTACTCTGGAGGAGTGAATGTGACCAGAAATCTATGTTTGTCGTGATGTATGTATATGTATTGCATATTTTGTTTCTATTCTGTATTTGACAACCTGAGGAACAAACGAGAGACTAGCATTCTAGGATATCAAAGTAGTTTATATTTGAAATCAGGGAGTCAATGCCAGATCGAGACGCTCAAATGGCTGCAGTTTAAAACAGCATATGCGCAAAAGAAGAGAAAAAGAAAGAAAACATGCAGAGGGCCGGCGATGACCTCAGCTGTTTGTCGGCCTATAAACTTCCCTCTTTATTATTATTAGAACGATAGTCGAACTGCTAACTTGGTTCTGCATACCCAGCCGGCAAACGTGTAGGACTCGAAGCAGCATATACAAGCATGTTCAGACATTGAAGGAACAAGAATCAGCTGAACATGTCCTCTATTGTGTGAAGGCCTATGCAAGTTGGTCATGGGAGAGGAAAAGCCACTATTTGAAGGATACACATAGGAGACGTTAGCAGAACTTTGGGATCTGGTAAAAAGCTTCAAGCTCAGCAGAGAGTTCTAGATAATAGTGGCGTATGTACAATAGATGAATATTGATCGCTTTACACAAGGTCGTAATGAAGCGTTTCATGTCATTTTTCCACAAAAACACTGTTAAAACCTTAAGAAAAGAAGGAAACTGTGAACAGAACGATACCGCGGATGTTCATACTTGCACAAAAACAAATACCAGCGCGGTGGTTTAAAGGGCAAGATTTGTAAGGTGTGAAATCAACTGTCTGTATTTTAATCGATGAATAATTTATTTTCAGTCTCGTTTTGCACGTTC